ACAGTCCAAAGTAAGCACAAGCTTACCTATAGGTTAATGCCCATTGGTACGGCATTACAAAAATACTTAAGACCCCCATTGGGCGGTGGAGGACTTAGAGCTAAGACACCCCAAAACTCTCCGGCGTGAGATCCAAAATGGATCGAACGGTGGAGGGGGGGGGGGTGTTCGTTGCTTGAAGTGGATCGATAAAACATAGAGCCATCAAAGCAAAGCTTATTACTCACGTCGAGCAAGCTGAACGACCGGACCAACCACGCAAAAACTGCGGAGCTAGATGTGCGGCACGCACAATGCATTGTTTTCGATTGGAGAGAGGCGAGTATAAAGCAGTAAGGAATTGTTTAGAACCGGAACCCGACCGGCAGGAAAGCAGACATCTCTCTTCGTCGACGCCGCCAACGTGAAAAGAGGGAGAGGCGTACTTGGCAGACGTTGGGGGATTGTAGCCTTGATTAAGGTGATCTATCTCCCAACGATAATGCAGGTAGTTGTACTATATAGAACTCGTTCGAGAACCAAAAACAAAACGAGGTCATGTCCTACATGGATGTACAACCCGCTGCAGTAGCAGTTGACGAGCGGGCGAGCGAGCGTGTAACGAGCTATATATGTACTACGTGACCCAATAGGACACCAGGCTGGTCAGTCATTCAGTCAGTCAAACACAAAAGAACGTAAATGACTTCAGTGTCGCCTGAAGAAGGGAGAAAGTCCAGCCTGACACTAAAACACTTAGCTACGTTTACGGTGCTACAGCAGTAGGGGGGTAAACTTTTGGGGGGTGAAATCTTGGGGTGAAATCTTGCTTTTTATTTTTGGGGTGAAATCTTGCTTTTTAATTTTTGGGGTGAAATCTTGCATTTATTTTTGGGGTGAAATCTTACACTANCCCTGAAGAAGGGAGAAAGTCCAGCCTGACACTACAACACTTAGCTACGTTTACGGTGCTACAGCAGTAGGGGGGGTAAACTTTTGGGGGGTGAAATCTTGCTTTTTATTTTTGGGGTGAAATCTTGCATTTATTTTTGGGGTGAAATCTTACACTACTGGGACAACATGGGTAGGAGGAATCCTCCTGTGTCGTCGGTGACCATGCCGTCGATCAGGACGCACCCAATTGGTAGGTTGTTACGTAAAATAAATGTGCCCCCCTTCCCCGGAAAGTAATTCAAGATAAGGTGAACCCCACACCTACCGACCGTAGCATCACTCCAACAACGGAACGCTTTTCTTGCAGAAGGATAAGCCCACGTTCGTCCGCCCGTCCGTCCTTCGTCGATCAGCGAAACANACTGGGAGAACATGGGTAGGAGGAGTCCTCCTGTGTCGTCGGTGACCATGCCGTCGATCAGGACGCACCCAATTGGTAGGTTGTTACGTAAAATTTATGTGTCCCCCTTCCCCGGAAAGTAATTCAAGATAAGGTGAACCCCACACCTACCGACCGTAGCATCACTCCAACAACGGAACGCTTTTCTTGCAGAAGGATAAGCCCACGTTCGTCCGCCCGTCCGTCCTTCGTCGATCAGCGAAACACGAACAATGAAGTCCGCTTGAGTAAAATATTTCATGTATCATCTGTGCAGTATTACATGTTGCCACTCAACACTGAAACCTGCAATTTAGCCGCCCGTCAGAACGCTGCGAGCGCTGAGGTAACAAATACTAAGTGGAAGAACAACAAACGCGCACACAAAAAACACCAGACAACCCACCAAAAAAGAGAAACGAACCGCGTCGCCCGAGNAAATGTGCCCCCCTTCCCCGGAAAGTAATTCAAGATAAGGTGAACCCCACACCTACCGACCGTAGCATCACTCCAACAACGGAACGCTTTTCTTGCAGAAGGATAAGCCCACGTTCGTCCGCCCGTCCGTCCTTCGTCGATCAGCGAAACACGAACAATGAAGTCCGCTTGAGTAAAATATTTCATGTATCATCTGTGCAGTATTACATGTTGCCACTCAACACTGAAACCTGCAATTTAGCCGCCCGTCAGAACGCTGCGAGCGCTGAGGTAACAAATACTAAGTGGAAGAACAACAAACGCGCACACAAAAAACACCAGACAACCCACCAAAAAAGAGAAACGAACCGCGTCGCCCGAGGCAAAATCACTCGATAACAACACGGTGCGGTGGCAATCTAATCTAACCTTGCCAAACAATCTCCACGTCTGCCTGAATCGACATGCTTGATTGTGATGAAACCAATGTCACCACGAGCACCAAAAACAGAAATGCAACACCACCACAACAACACTGGTTGACTGGTTCCTCTCCTCTTCCCGTGGCTATTAGCACAACGGGCGAAAGGGGGGGCCAAGACTATCTTGGCAACAGTAGTCCCGTGGGGCGACCTCCCTTTCGCGCCACACAACGCATGTGTGTATGCCGTGCAAGCGTAGTAAGTGGTTCCTAACCCTCCTTCGGATGAACAACAACAACTAACTGTCATTTTAGACTATACCACGATGAACGCCACCAACACAAGCGACAGCACACACACAAATGCAAGCAAGCCCCGTTTCGATCCCTCAAAAAAAAAAAAACAGCAAGCGTCGTGTGAACGGCGTGGCGCAGCGAGGCACCCGGGACGCCGAGGCATCTCGGCCTCGATCTTCGATTACTTCGTCCTACTTCTGATTTGCCATCGGGCGAGGGAAGCGGGGGGGCATCAGCCAAAGCTGCGAGGTAAGCACACCTATGACGTTTCAAAACGGCAACACAAATCCAACAGAGTAGGCACAAGGTAGACAAGAGCTCCTGCTATTTAGTACCTCTCGAAGAGAGATGCAACCATCACGCCAGCAGCCACCCCGCTGTCCATAACCCCCTGCGCTCACAGCCCAAAATACACGAACGAGAAAGCGTCTCCTATTCAAACATTGACGGAAAGCGAAGGGAAGCACGCAAAATACAAGATGAATTCACCGCGCGCGATCTCGATTTTTACGGTCGTCGCGCTTGCGCTTTGGATCTCGAGCACTGCCTCCTCCGCACAGCAGGTGCCACGCCGTCCGTCCCACACCGCCCTCGCGCCATGCTTCGAGACGCTTTTCGATTTCTTCCAAGTGCGTCATCGTCGGCATAGCAGCCCCCCCCCCCCCCCCACCCTGCCAACCTTGTGTTGCTGTAGTTGTTGCTGTCTTCACGATGAACAACCGTTCCGGTCTCCGCTCAGTACCTTCTAATGTCCGTACTGGTCCAACTGACGCAGACGCCTTCCTCCCGTGGTCACAAGCAAACTGCCCCCCAAACGGGGTTACACCTTTCACAAAAACAAAAAAATAAAAAAGGACACCAGAAAATTCTTCCAAGGGCGCCGCTAGAGACCAATAATCACAAACGTCTTCCTATTAGAACATCGGCGGGCAGGAAAAATAAGACTTCAGGTCCATCCCGCCGCCAATGACTATCAGTCGCAGAGCCTAGATCTATCTGCTGCTATTAGCAACAACATCGTGGACGATCCTCCTGTCGTATGCATCTTTCCGCGCTCAATAACAAATGATCGTTGTTTGTTCCGAATGGGGCATTTTGCCAGTCGCCTGCCTGCCTGCCTGTCTGCCCGCCCGTGCCCTCTGGTCAGAGCTTGGCCACGTGGCTCGTTCTCCCGTTCCGGTGTGGCTGGAACACGCACACGAAGTTGGGGCTGGGGACGTCGTTGACGTCGCCCGTGAAGGTGAGCTTGCCAGTCTCGTTGTTGAACCTGGAAAAAACATGAATTTTGAAAAAGGTGAGCAAAGGATTTTCATTTGTTTGCATTGAAGAAGCGCCATAAGGGTAACAAACCACGATCAAGCAAAGAAAGATTGGTTGTGCTTGGTGGGCAAACAAAGAAACTCAACTGCGGTATTATCTCGAACGGGTTCTATTTAGTAGTCGGTCTCACCACGGAAATCCTCTCGACAAAAGAACTCCCAAAACAAACACAAAAAAAACAGACAAAAAAATGGCTCAAGAAGATTATTGGTGTTTACCTGAAGACGGCGGCGCTGTCCGTGATATCCTGGTTGGCAACTCAGCCGGCCGAGGCCGCCCCCGCCCTACGCATACCCCATCGCGGAACCCCTCCCATGAAAGATCTCCGAAAACAGCAACTCACACAAAAAACAAATCGCAGACGATGGTAGATCGAAAGTCTCCGAAACACCCGAACAAGAAATAAACGTAGAACAGCCCCGTTGTGTACCTGAACACGGTGGAGGTTCCTCGCTCAAATGCCCGAAACACACACACACGAAAACAAAACAAAAAATCGCACACTGTTGTCCGTACCTCAAGACCGTGAGCAGGCCGAAACCGCCCCTGCACCAACGTATACCCCACCACAGAACCCTCTCGACAAAAAATCTCCGACAAAGACGGCACAATTGAAACAGCCAGCATGAATGCTTACGCTTATCTCCGAAAACACACACAAAAAAAGAAGTAAACCACACACACGAAACCGATCGTATATTAGGTATCCAGGTCGCGTACCTGAAAACTGTGACGGCTATCGGTGTCCTGGTTGGCGCTCAGTACCCCCACCTACGCATATATATCCCATCACGGAACCCCCTCTCTCAAAAAATGTCCGNTTATGTTTTGCATGCCTTAGCGGTTAGCCACTGACCACGCGTCCTCCTCGAGAGGACGGAGCACTGTTTGTTCTCGCAGGACCGATCACCAATCAATGGACACGCACTCCTTCCTGTTTTGCAAAGGGTGGCTCAAAAACGCTGTCCCTAGCCTATCTATCCTATGTGAAGGCGGGGATCTGTCTCGTAGTGAGTGATACAGCAGAGCAAGGTGAGACGGGGTTTGGTCTACGGCGAACACTGCACGTGCGCATGAATCGTGGAGACATTGCGGGTGAAGTCCAGTATTTTTTAGCCTGCCTGGTACCCTGTAGCGCATCGATCGTCCGTCTCTACCGGTTTCTTATTGTTCCGACAGATCAAGGGGTCGAAAAAGATTGTCACGGACCCGACCCGCTGTAGTGTATGGTTACCCTCAATTATATAGAGTCGCGAGTGCCGGGTCGGGATAAGACGTCGACCCGTCAACAGATAATGCAACACACAGGCAGCAGTTCAACAAAGAAACGAAAAAAAAGCGGCGGAGACAAGCGTCCGCCCGCAACAAAATGCTGCTGTTGCAAAAGCATATCGGAGAAGGGAAACAAAACCAAACACACAGAGGGAGAGAGAGGAGAGATCCATGGCCTTGAGAATCGTCTTCAGTTTTCCCTCGCACTCGTGTAGAACTGACGCCTTTCCATTGGCCAGCCGGCTAGATAGCGCGGTCGATGCTAATACACGCGCACACACCGATGGACCAAGGAAAGACGAAGGTGCAAATAATCTGCCATGACACAACACTGATAAATTTCTCGCGCGAGACAGAAAAAGAAAACACACACACAACAAACACAAAAGATAAACGTTCACGGATGGACAAAGAAAAAAACAAAACAAAACAAATAATCTGCTACATAAGTATTCTCGCCAGCCCGTCGGGTCCACGCAGATGCGACCGCACGTGTTGAGCTTCCGCGGGAATGCCGACGGGATGGTGCTGACCGACTGCACGAAGCTCAGTGTCGGCAGGTCGCCGCCGGCCCTCACGCCTCGCTACTCGACGGTGTTGAACTCGTAGACGCTGCCGGTGGAGGACAGCTCGTTCACCACGTAGGCGGCGTTGATCTCTGGGTGGAAGGCTCTGGTGCGGTGTTGGTTGGGGAGTGGGGGCATCAGGGAGGGGGGGGGTAGTCATGTACAACGTATGCCGTAGGTAGTCGTTGGACCTTTGACCTCACATGCCCGGAGGGTACTCATGTAAACGGTATGCCGTACGTGGTCATTGGACCATTTGACCCCAGGTGCGATGGGGTGAGGGAGAGGCCGTGAGGAGAGAG